TAACCAACAAATCTACAATAGTTGTAAATTAAAATTTGCAAAGACTTGTTCGTTAGGAACTGAAATTGTAGTTCGTAGCAGAACTTCACAATTTCATCTATAAGTTTAGATTTTTTTGTGTTTATATTATTGAATTCATAATGGCAGCTTGTTACCTTGTTTATTAAACATCTAGACTAAAATTTTACCAAGTATGTAAAACTATCTATTAACACAACTAATTTAAATAATAATTAGCTGAACTCTATATCTTCAAAAGGAATATAATCGTTTTTATATTCCCATCACCACTTAGTTACTCTCTGCTGCTCGTAGGTCTGTTCATCATCAATTTTTGAAGAACCTCAAGAAAAAAACTTAATAATGGCCTTCCAAACCCTCAATTTTATCGACGGTTTGTGCGTCTGCCTCTCCTTTGTCATCTTCTCTTGTAGTATGTAGTCTCGTCTAGCAATCGATCATAAGCAGCAATTAGAAAGAAACTAGTAAAATGCTGGCTTGTCACCCTCACCGAGTAGCGCCAAAACTAGAAAACCAAAGACAATCTCGAAGCTCGCCTTCTATCCGGAACCGAACAAAATCTCCGTATTGCGAGCATAGAACAGACTATGGCGAGTTAAACACTTGTTGAGTAGTTAACCTGGCCAAAAATAAAGTGAGTAACTTCAAGTGAAATCTTTTATCAATTAGGTTTACCTAAATATATACATTTGGCAATCTTTCCAGTTCTTGAAGCATTTAACACCTAAGTACCAAACAGAATAAAGCACAACCTCAGGGCATACTTTGGACAACAAGGAAACGAAAGGCAAAATAAGACAGGTGCCGAAACTAGGGCCCCTCGTCTTAAGTCAAAGTACTCCTTAACGAGAAGTTAGAAGCTAATCTTTCACTAAATAGATAGCTACTAGTTAGCTATCTCTTCTTTTTGCATTGCGTTTGAAGTTTACACGGTATGAAAAATACACATCATGATGCGTGGGGGAGAGGGGGACTTCAGAGATAAGCATGTCAAAAGCAAGTCTCTTAAATTTAGCATACTATGATCAACTTGGCATTGAAGAAAAATTGTTTTCATATCTTTGGGTGCTAGTATTTGAACTAGGGTAACATATGTCGAACTGCAGTAAACACATGTGTTAATAATTGAATTCTCATCTCATTGGTCTTTCATATGCTTTCCGGCAATCCACTAGAGCGGAGTTATATGAAAACCTCAATAACATAACCAGTGAGATCTTCATTAACACCATAATTCACAAAGAATATAAAACATAAACTAGATATTATTTCAAAATTATACAAACCACTTTGCTCTGCACTTTATTTTTTAAATATATTTAAAATTAAAATTTAAAATGAATTTTATTATGATCATTTTTACTTTTATAATTTTTTATCACATTCTTGTCTTTCAATAATTTTTTAATCAATATTTTGATAAATCAAACAGATTCGTTTAAATCTTAATGCAATATATATAATCAAATCTAATTATTTATTTACAATATTTTGAAAATATTTTTATTAACATAAAATTTTAATTTTTTTAATTTTTTGTGATTTATTAATATTCTTAACAATGTAAATCCTCTCACATTCAGCAAAAATACTTGCATTGTTTAAGAGATTGTGATTTTGTTTCCATACATATAAAATGAGATGATTTAATAAATGACTGTATGTATGTATGTATGTATGTATGTATATATATATATATATATATATATATATTTCCTTTTAATAATTTCATTTTTTTTTATATTTATAGATAAACTTGAATATTTTTGCACATCTATTAGAACAACAAGGGTTTGTTGTTTTACTGAACATTATTTATATCCTTTTTTAAACATGTTGTAAATTAATAAATTTTTTTCGAAAATTCATCAGAAATATTTCTTATCAGATTTTCATGTTAATTTATTTATTATTTATATTTTAAGATTATTTTCCCTTCATGAACTTTGATGCTTATTAAATGTATTTTTATTAATTTATACATTTTAAGATTAGGTACAATCTAATAATATATTGTTGATTTGATATCAAAGTTTATGATCATTTGCATTTTTTAAGTCAAGAAATTTATTTGTCAGATACGCGAATATTTTTTGGTTTCCAATTATAATTTTTTTGAGAAAATCTCATTCTTGTTGTTGTCAAATGTATCCAGAGTTCATTCCATCTATAGTTTGTTTTTTTCAAAAACTACATCACAACAGAATTATGCGTTCTAGTTGTGAAATAACTTTTCAAAATACGGTTTTATTCCAAATTTATTTTGACTTCAATATTTAGCATATTCAAAGTATTTTTATTTGATATTATTATTACTATTATTTAAAATTCATTTCAGTAATATTCACATTTTTATCATGTTTTTCCCTCTAAAGTCTATTACTATCAAATGTTAACAAGTTCACCTTGAAGAAAAATAAAACTTGATGCAAAAAGGTGAAATTTAAAGGATTAAATTCAAAAATATTATTTTACTTATATATATATATATATATATATGTAACAAATATTTATAATCATAATTATGATTTCTGAAATATTCCATGAAATTTATGAATTTTTTTACACTTTCAAATTCAATCATTGAATTGTTGAAGAAATTGTGGAATTTTTTTTTCATGCGTTACAAAAAGAATAGATTTAGTAATTTATTTTATATAGATTTATATTTAGTTTATGATTTTAGAAACTTATTTATGTTTTGTGTTGATTTGAATATTTGCAGAGATTTGTTAATAGACTTGAAGGCTTTGATTTTTCATTCCACACAATTGAGAATTATCTCTATCTTTCATATTTCTATATTTGATAGATCAATGCAGTTTTTTGAAAATAAAGTACAACAGAATTTTTCATTTTAAAACGAAGTTTTAATTCATTTTATTATAATTATTTAGAAATTATTTTATCCGTTGTACATTTCTATTCGTATTATATGTTTGTTTTCCTGAAGCTTCAGAAAATTTATCTGGAATGGTTTCCAGATATTAGAAGATTGGTTACATTCCACTATCTAGTAATAAAAACGCTAATTTTAGCATAATTTCATTTTGTTAGTTCGATAGATTTACGTTTCGTACACGTGAGTACTTTCCAATTTCAATTATGAACTGTTGTGACAAATTTTTTTTTTCTAAGATTTATCTATAGTATTTCAACAATAAATATTTTTCCTTAAAAAACTACCTCAGAACAGTTTTTTTTTTCAGAAACGTAGTAGTGAATATTTTATATATTCGTCTCGCCGAACTCAGTTTTACATTTAAACTTATCCTGAACGACAGCATCTTACGACGTATTGAATCCATTTACTCGAGTTCAGTCGCTTTTTATGGGCAAAATAAAGGTTAGAGTTATAATACAAATCACAAAAGATTGAGGTTTTTTTTAAAAAAAGTATGTAAAAATTCGTGTGTATAAAAATTCGATATACATGTGCTCAGGTTTTCAGTAGATCATCCACTGGCTAACAGAGTAGTAGTGAGAAAATAGCAGCCGTTGCGATGTTCTGCTGCTGCATATAGACGGATGTCTGGAATCATCGTTTTCAAATCTAGACAATTCTAGATATGCATCCCATCGCGGCGGGCAACGAGGGCATCTATTATATAATAAATGAATAAATAAATGTAGCGTCGTCCCATACTTTTTGCTGTATACCTTCGTTCACTGTCCATATATATATATTCGTCAATTTATTAGCACTTGTCCTTTGCGGCCGGGACCTTTGGATTCGGCTTGGGTCCCTCGGCTACTGGGCATGGCCCGGCTTTGTTTTATTTGCGTGTTTGCTCTCGCCTCGGATTCATGGGCGTTCAGCCATGGGTCACTTCCAAAAGCTGTCCCTTGCATTGGCACAGACCTGAGGCGATCTTATAGGGTCTCCTTGATATTCCCTCATCCAGATTGGAGCGTTCTCGCACCCATTGTTGCAGTGTTTGTATCGGAGATGGTGTTATCCCCAATAGTGACTCCTTGCTCGGCCAAGCCACAAACCTCCTCTCCTCCTCGAGAGTGCCTTGTCGCATTGGCTAGATCCGGCACAATACTCATGCGAGCGCATGTCATGGACTGATGGCCCCCCCTCGCCTCGTGCCAGAGCACCATTGGCTTAGACATTCCGGACTTCCCCGAGCTTTTGTGATCTCCTGCCGTCCCAGTCGGTAACATCCTATCGGTGAGCGACAGGAGAGAAGGCCCAGCAGCCTCAGGCCAATTCTAGCCGGCATCTCGGCTCCATCTCCCAACATGTCTCTGTCCTTGCAGAAGCTCCAGCTCGCTCGCTGGATCTAGAGGAGATGGGTACCGAAGGAAGAGAGAGAGAGAGATTGAGCTCTTGTCATTAATTGGTAGGCAGAAGCAGCAGAGCTCGCTGGAAGCTCCGCTGCCCTTCGGACATGAATGACTGGCCGCCTCCAAAGTTAGACAGTGAGGATTCCGAGCGGGAGAGAGAGGGAGCAGCAGGAGGACACGAATGTAAGAAGTAAACGAGAATCTGTAAGAGGACCGGGTCCGGATTTACCATTTTACCAGATGTGGCCTGATAGATCAGGGGCCCGGGCGGGCGTGCTCTAGGACTCCGGCACGCAGCTCTCCAGCTGTGACAGGGACTTTAGTGACGTCCCGCCAAACGCAGCACTGTGTCGAGGAGATTTACAACACAAGACCGGCACCACCATCCCACGTTGGTTTGAAAGTGCAAGCGACTTGTCATCTCAAGCCCCGGCTTTCTTTCTTCCTTCCTTCCTTCCTTCCATCCTCTCACCCTTTAGTTCCTTCTCGGTTTCGGCATGCATTCCAGGTCAATGGCAAGAGGTCATTGGCAAACGCGAGACGACTTCTGGCGCACGGCAGATGACAAGAAGAGAAATGCAAAGACCTGCCTGCAGCCATTGTAGCCATTGCAGCGAGGAAGAGAGAACCGTCGAGAGAAGGAAGAGAAGGAAGCGAAGGAAAGAGAAGAGTGGAGTCAGGGATGGTTGGAACGCATTCGAAATTCCGTTACAAATTTAACAACTTTCCAATATCCTCAAGGAGATAATGGGCCTAGGGCAGCAACAAACATACATAGCCAGATTCCTTAGTCACTCCATTTTGGAGCACATGAGGGTCCACGGGATCTTAGCCTGACTCCAACCGTCAAAGTATCATCGGAGACAGGACGTCGACACCGTAAACTTCAAAATCTATGCACTACCTTTTTACCTTTCTGTAAAATAATGATTAGGCGTGCCACATGTTCAATATGCGGAGCTCCATGTGTCCCCTCCTTTGTGCTTTTTGCATAGAGCACTTTTGGACTTTTGGGAAATAGGCCCTTATCCCCAAAAAAACAAGTCCCTCCCCGTCAAAAGATATGGAGTAACCGAATTTTAGCCATAATTGTAGCGATGCCTTCGCTTCCGCTCTGGGGCCCCTCGCTGCTCGTGGCAACCAGATTAGCCGAGCTCCACCACCAAAGGCCCATCTCATTCGCTCCCCCACCTCTGCCTCTAACCGCGATTACGAATCCTTGCGTGCCCACTTCTCGCCCTCACCCTCGCCCTCCTCTTCCTCCCTCCCTCCCTCCCTCCCTCGGGTCCGACTTAGCCCCCTTCCACTTTAGCCGCGAATTTGGTGCTCCTCGATCGGGCTCACCTTTCCGCCACGCCAACCATCACACTCTGCACATTGTTACGATCAATTCCCCGTCTGATCTGCTGCCGAGGACATTCTGGTTGAGTCGGTCGCCGGGAGCTTTTACCAGCGATTCTCTCACGAGGGTGGTTAAGTCTGGGGTCTGGGTCTGCCACGAAGCACAGCAGGCGAGATCAGGGAGCGAGGCCGTGGGGCGACGGGGAGTGAGTTTCAGGGAGGGGGGGCGAGAATCCGACATCGGGCTTAGCGACGGTCGAACTACTACTGTAAAGGGGGGACTGGCCTAGCCACGGTTATGGATGGTTTGGTGCGTGCGTCATAGGCATATAGGCAGTGTCTGGCTGGTGGTGGTGACGAGAGTATCGGAAGAGGGACCAAATTAGGGACAATGTGGTCTGGATAAACGTGAATTTATATATCCGGGAAAACAGGATTCATAAATGAGAAGCGGGCTGGTGGGGCGATGCACGTCTTGCGATTTGTGGTGCCTTGGTCCTCGACAGCTTTCCGGGGGACTCAGCCAGCAGATGCAGCAGCAGCAGCAAACTTGTGGCTGTGACTTACCTCGTGTTAGGATCCCCGTAACCCTGATGAGCTCCTCGAACTCGTCGAAGGCCCCCTCCCCCCACCTCCACCTCCTCCCTCCCTCGCTCCCTCTATTCATCCGAGATCCACAAGACAAGCCTGTGCAGTGGAGCACATGCTATTGATAAGAAGCAGCTTGTTCTGGTGAGGGAAGTTCGTGACCACCTCGTGTTGGAATCCCCCCCGCAACCCTGTCCCCTCGCTCCCTCGCTCCCTTCCTTCCTTCCCTTGCCAATCCTCCCCCCTTGCCTGCCCTCCCCACTGCTGCCCTGTCCTGCCCTGCCGAGCGATCGACGACACGAGCTCCCGCACGCATCGACGAGCGAGCGACCGAGTATCAGAGTGAACGAGGGCTCATGAGCGCGAGAGAGGTAGGCCGGTCAGAGAGCGCAAGTCAGTCGCCCGAGCATTCGATTCGGAGCGACGCACGAGGAAGAGGAGCGGCAGAGCGAGCGAGCGTCTGACCTGCAGGGCTGAGGAACGCATCATAATCTGGTCGTCGTGAGACGCCGGCGCCAGCATCAACAGCATCACTAGCATCAGCAGCAGCAGCAGCAGCGAGCGAGGAAGGAAGGAAGGAAGGAGAAAGAAAGGCAACAGAGGAGATCGAATTCCGGAGGCCGGGAGATTGTGGGACTGTATGGGAATAGATTCCATGTTTGAAATCGAAGACTCTCCATCGCCGCCGCTGGAGTGGACGCTGAACCCGAGCCGGAGCCGCAGAAGAGCCAGTGCTGCCGCAGTGCATGTCCAATAGGTTGCAAGCGCGAGCGAGAACGAGAACGAGACCGAGACCGAGAGCACAAGCGGTCGGTCGGTCGTTCTATCGAGCGGTGCGCTGCGCTTCCCGCCCGCCGCGTAGATCAGATCCATGAGATGACACAGAGATGGAGACCCGTGGAGGAGTCGCTGAGTGCGGGAACCGACTCAAGGGCGTGAAGGCCAGAGGCTCTGTCCATCTCTCCATCCCCGTGGCGCTGGTCGAAGGAGGCGAGGTGAAGTGAGTCGAGACGAGACGAGACAAAACAGAACGCAACGCATGCAGAGCAAACCGAGAGCAGAGCAGAACAGAGCAGATGACATGATTTGAGATGACATGAGAGGAGAGGAGATGCGAGGTGAGATGAGGTGAGATGAGTATGCGATGAGATGAGCTGAGATGATGGCACGAGGGACTGCTTACAGAGGGGCTCGGTCGAGAGCACCGTGATGACAGATCGCGAGGAGGGAGGGAGAGGAGGAGGAGGAGGAGGAGGGCTGGAACCCAATGGTGGAAACAAAGGCATGTGTCGGGACTGACTGCGGGAAAGGTAGTATTCCTCTTGAGCGGGCCAGCTCGGCATGCAGCGCTTGCTCGTCGTAGGTGATGGTTTTGAGTTTGGAGTGGTAGCGTAGGCTTGCTGTAGAGAGAGCTGATCAGATCAATTTGTAGAATCGAGGGAAGAAAATCAATCAATCAATCAATCGAAGCAGAGTTGAGGCAGTGAAGTGAAGACACTGAATGGATCGTTTCGGCGTGAGCAGTGAAGAGGGTCTGATGATGGGAGGCAGGTATCTGTCTAAGGAGGTGATGTGCAGAATTCTGGGGAGATTACCGGCGCGTAGTTTTCTTCGGCTCAGGTGTGTGTGCAAACGGTGGTATTCCATTATGGAGGACGCCGACTTCAAAGCCATTTGCGCATCCATCGAGTTCCAGACCTCGACCCTGTGCGTCGCGGACAAGGCCCCCTTCCTGCTCTGGGAATCTGCCAAGGATGCAGCCAAGCCCCTGCTGGCCTTCGACCTCCTGGCCCGCAAATGGCGTCGCTTCCCGCTGCTCGAAGGGCCCTGGACCAAGCTCACGGTGCTGTCCAGCACTCGGGGCCTGCTGCTGGCCAGCGAGACGAACGAGGCCGGCGACAGCGACTACCTCACATTGAACCCTCTGACGACGTCGCAGCGCAAATTGCCCCCCATGATCGAGCTCAACAACCTCAAATTCAATGTGCGCCAAATTGTCATGGACGGCGTGGTGGAGGGCAAGTACTTCGTCATCGCTGAGGAGCTGCAGTCGAAGAAGCGCGGCCGGGGCGAGAACACGGCCCCCACCGCTCCCAGGCTGCAAATTTACGACTCGAGCACCAATGCGTGGCAGCTGGCGGGCGACCTGCGGCCCGGGCTCAGCTTCAAGCACGCTGTGTCCATGAAAGGATCGCTGCTCTGTCTGGCCACGAGCGGCAAGGAGGGCTCGGACGTGAAGAGCGTGCAGGTGTTCAAGTTCGACGGGGCCTGCACATGGGCCGAGCTGCAGACGGAGCTGCCTGTGTGCATCGGGCCTCCCAATCGCCGCTGGACGCCTCGCCTCTTCGACTACCAGGGCCGCCTGATGCTGGCGGGCGAGAGCGCAGCGCAGGCCAACAACAAGGCCGTGTGCGTGTGGCAATTGGACGACGAGCGGATGGAGTGGGTGCAGGTGCAGAGCATGCCCAAGGTGCTGTACGACGAGCTGGTCGGGGCGAACGAGTTCATGACGTGCGAGAATTTCCTCTGCATGCATCCGGCTCGCGAGGAGAGGAACAAGACCATTCTGTGCAACCTGACCACGGGCGACTGGCAGATTTTGCCCTACAAAACCCCCCGCATGACCGAGCGCCTGCGCACCGCCTTCATCCACGACAACTTTTGTTTCTACGAGCCTAGAGTAGGTGCCATAGCTTGATTCTTGGGAGCACTCCCTCGCATATCTCGAGGTAAGCACGACAAACTTGAGCGACCACTGTGAACTTGTTGTGCCCCCGATCACTTGCAAAGTCCCGAGCACAGAACTCCCCAATGGTCATTATCATACTGCCGATCGTCGTCGTTGCCATCACCACGTCGAATGAGCGACCACCACGACGATCGACATCCGTGCCTGTGGACACATCCCCATCACGGGGATTCTCCCGTCACTTTCTCCGACGAAATGATCGATCGATTTACGTGCAGGAAAGGTTTAGAGTTAGTGGCCGAAGAGAGCCCAAGGCTGCTTCTTCGGTCGGACCTAGGACAGGAAGGTGAATCCCGATCCGGTCCTCCCTTTTTTTGGACTTGGTGGTTGTAAGAGCAACACCTCGAATTCTCCAAGTAGTTATTTTTACGTGGAAGCGTTTTGAAACTTGGTGAAACTTCCTGTTGTCATGCATTGTCGCTGTCTCCCCATCACTTCACCCCCAGGGCATCGTCGCTTTGTTTAATTGTACATACACTCGAACCCCTAGTTCTCTGCCTGTTATCTGGTCTTGAGCGTCAAAGCGTTGTCAGCAGGACGTCGGCGACCCTACATAGGCTTGATGTGGGTTGATCCTGGTACCTAGACGCTGTAAAATTTCAAATGCCAGGGAGCTAAAAATTACATGTCATTTACACTGTCGTGGATACCTGCACTTCTACCTTTTCGTGTTTTGGCGTCTGTCTCTTCGATCGGTTTTGAGCTTCACACTTCGTCACACTCTACATGTTATGGTTTACATGGTTGTTCTGCTCCTCTGAATCGGCAATGGATGTACTTGAAAGGCTTAATTTGTGTATCATATGCTTAAGCCATGACTCCTATGCCATACGACGCTTGCAGCCGGACGAAAATGCGAGTAATCTGAATTTTTCAGGCTGTACACTTGATAGCCAACAACTGGATTAATTCGTTTATTTGAAGCGTGTTTTTTTGAATCATAGCAACGCTCAAAGGTTGGAGGCTTACCCTGACTGAACAAGATGAAACCGAGAAGGATGTTACTGAGCAATCACTCCTTCAGTTTCTAACTCAAGTGAAGAGGAGAGAATGTATGTCAGTAGAACTGTGGAAAGCAACGGAAGAGTGGAATGTTGAGATATGAACCCAACAGAAAATTGTACAAATCATTGTTCTTGAAGGGGAAAAACTTTTTCTCTTGAAGTGATTGCTGTGGATATGCAGAAAAATCTACACTTCTGATCACTCGACCGTGAGAATCAAACTTGACAAAAAATTTAATTTTAGCGCAATCCTTCTCTCCCTGCAGAATATGCGGACAGAAGAAACACGAAATTTTCTGCCACGAAAAAATCATGAGTTAGTAGACATGTCATCGCCGAAAGCATTTTGAACCATAAGATTACACAACGAGAGAAGCGCTGAAAAAGTCTGATACTCTTATGTTGTACAAACTGGATGAAATCACCTACGCTGTGAATATAACTGTTCGACAAATGCAGGCCTATTGCACATGCAGGGACTATCTACATATGCTACAACAGCGAGGCCTACCACATTCGATGGAAACTCATGCTGCCAGAGAATTTAAAGTATGGAACGTACCCAGGGTCAGAGCTTTGACTAGTGCTTCTCTTGCAGGGTCGTGCGTAAAAAAATGAATGTCGGAACAATTAGTTACAGAACAGAAGTTGGAGGCTGAACAAGCAAAGTCTTGTTAATATGATGTTAATATTCAGGCAGCCAACACTCTTTGATCAAACTTCCGGACCCTGCCAAATACTCCAAGCAAAGACTCGGTCTTAAGTTTGGTGTTCGCTCCTTCTCTTCCTCGCCAATCTTACCAAAATCAAACTCATTCCTGTCAAATAACTAAGAGCCTCTCTGTCAGTTTCGTTGCGGAATTTCACGAGATAACATTGGGTCTTGAATTCTTTCCTAGAGAGAACTCAAATCATGACCAAGAAAGAGTCAGTTGGCATGTCTGGTAGCGTTTATGCCCACAACGTTGTCGTAATAGTCGAGGCTGTATTTCTCTGTGTACTTCGTCGTGGTTATGGTCACGAAATGAAAATGGTGAGGTCGAAAATCTTTAACAGTTACAAAGATGTCCTATCTCAACTCTCCGTTCTCTGGCTTTTGAATCCATGTGTCAGTGCAAGGAACGACGTGTCGATCAGGAACTCGTCCCACTCCAACTACTCCTGAATGAGTAGCAGAGGTGAGGGGTACCGGTAGGTCCTGTGTCAGCGGGTATGCTCAAAACGCTCACAATCGTATGCGTGTCCAGTTCAAGATACTGATTTCTCGATTGTTACCCATGACACACGAATCGAAAAGCTAAGTTTAAAGAGACTGGCTCTGCAAAGATGACAGGCGAATCTGCTGATGATCGGGTCGTCCATGAGCTACCTTACCAACGGCGACGAGCATCAAAACTCTCTCCATACAGTCAGTCGACACATTCAGCAGATGTACAGCACTGTGCGGTACTTGATCCTCCTTTCGACACCTGACACGCACGCACACGCAACGCATTGAATGGGACCAAACGCTCCCATCTCAGAGGCTCCCTGCCCTCCGCATGGCCCAGGGCGAAGGCCGCATGCAAGAATTTTCACCCTCTGTCTGTCTGTCTGTCTGTCCGTCGAGCATTGGCAAACCGTCCCGGGCGTATGTGACGCGGTCGGTTCACAGAGAATGAAACTGGCGCTCACAATTGGAGGGAACATGGAGTGTCACCATGCAGTACAGGACAGAGCCAGAAGACTCTCTCGAAAACTGGGACGACTGACTGCGTGACCCTCCCTCGTCAGGACTCGAGAGTCTAGAGAGAGACAGCGAACCCATCCTACAGGCCGGCCACCCGGCCAGGCGATTGTCAACACATGAGTGTGAGCTGCTGGTTGCTGATTCATTTTCCGAGCCTGAGAAAGGGCAGAACATGGGTCTGTTTTCTTAAATAATAGCAGAGAGTACTTTCTGGAAACGTAGTTTCATCAATAATCTAAGAAGCTCCAGCTCTCTCTCTCTCTCTCTCTCTCTCTCTCTCTCTCTCTCTCTCTATGGGCTTCGCCCACTACATGAGCAGACCCGATGAAAATTGATCTTCTCTAGTTTGATTCTTAGTTGCTCTTGGAATGTTGGCCATCTTCTAGTAGGCGAGGATGATGAGAGTAGTAGCAGACGGCTCCAAACGTGAGACCGCGAAACGGACAGTGATTCATTCATCTCAAGAAGATAAAGAATAAAGATGATATTCACTGGTAGACTCTCGTAGAAACAAATCGAGACTACGAGAGATGCGGGTCCAATCCGAAGACAAAACTTGTGCTTCTGGCCCAAGCTTGATTGCGAAATCCGCCTCTCAATCATTTGTCGTCCGTGTTTATAGACAGAAAGATACAGCAACAATTGTCGAACGAATGTACCGCCCACGAAGATCCACTCCATCCATCGTAACCCACGCAATTGTGTCCGAGTCTGTCCTCGGGGTTGGAAGGAGTGTCGTCGTGTGGCGTTGCATTCTGTTCCGGACAAAGAACTCTACGCTTCTACTTCGATCCTAGGCTCGTAGACACAGAATCCGCTGTGGATGTTGACCGAAACCGGAGAGCTTTGCTCGTCCAATTTCTTGGGCGCTGGCAGAACCTCCCTCCAGGTGGAACCGGTGTTGAGGTTGCAGATGGTCCTCTCGACCTCGAGCTTGCCATCGGAAGAGCACACGCTGGTCAGGAAGAGGTAGTCGCCGCTGGTCAGAAAGTAGTGCTTGGAGTTGAGCACCCAGGGGCTCGAGAAGCCCTGCACTTGGACCCAAGCCGATCGGACGTCGTCCAGCTGCCAGACCTCGTGCCATTCCCTCACGCCGACCTCTCGCTGCCACCTCTGTCTGCTGGTGTCGCCCGTGCCCACGAGCATGAGGCGGCCGCGGTGCTGGAACAGAGTGGGCACGCAGCGCAGCAGCTGGCTGCCAGTGCACAGAGGCACTTTGGCCTTCACCTCGTGCCACACCTGAACGCCGTCGAAGCGGAAGATGTGCGCCGTGGTGAAGGTGGCCAGGCAGTAGAGCGATCCATTGACGAACGCGGCGCTCTTGAAGCGCAGGCAGTAGGGCAGCTCGCCCACCATCTGCCAGGCGTCCTTGGTCGAGTCGTACATCTGCAGCTTGGAGGTGTGCCCGGCGCTCACGAGGTTCAAATCCTCCGCGATGATGATGTACCGGCTTTCTAATTCATCGATCATGATCATCTGGCGAACGCTGTAATTCCGCTCGTCGATCATCAGAGGCAGCCTCCTCTGCGATCTCGTTAGAGGGTTGATTGTGAAGAAGGTTTCATCGGATTTCTTTGCGTCATTTCTCCTCTGCCTGATCAGAAACAGACCTCTCGCACTCGAGAGCACTGTCAGTGATACGCTCTTCACATCCGGCACGATCGGCAGGAAGATGGAGGTCGGAAACGGGCGCCATTCTCGAGCCAGGTCCAGAGCCAGGATGTGCTCGCCATCGCCCGGGTGATGCCAGAGCAGGAAGGGCACTTTGGTAGGAGCTCGGAAGATTCTCCAGATGGTTTGAAGCTCTGGATCTTCCACGATGGAGTACCATCTTTTACAAACCGACCTCAGCCGAATAAAGCTTCGCACGGGCAATCTCGCGAGAATTCTGCACATCACCTCCTTGGGCAGGTACCTGTCTGCTATCATGAGCCCCTCATCGCTTCTTTCGGTCAGGCCCGGGCGGTCCATCTGCACTCGGTCAGCCAGCGACGTCACGGTCGATAATTCCCGAGCCCGATTCGCGTGATTGTTCGATCTTGGATGCGTTCCGTATTCGAGCAGAGTTAGTGGTGATCACGACATGGAAGAGCGAGCGAAGATCATCGACGATGCTCGACCTCGATCGAAAGCTTCACTCTTCCATCCGGCCCAAGATGTTGACTGCTCTTCTGTCTATCCTGCGAAGCTTGACCGATCGCCTTGAATCTCTCGAGATCAAGTAGATGATGGCGATTGGAGAATTTCCCACTCCGACCACCACCGGCATGAAAATGACTGCCCACCAGCAGCAGCAGCAGCAGCAGCAGCGACGACGACTGCTGCTGCTCCATGGCTCCGCTGCACTATTGTGAACGCATAGTGGGCAACAGTGTCGGTTCTTTACAGGTAACAGAATCCAGCCAATTTCACGGGTCTTGCGCGTCACTGTTGTGGCCGAGGTCTTAATCGAGCTGAGGCTGCTGGATGTCCATGCAAGCGTTCGAGCGACTCATCTCCAATATATATTCCCTTTTCTAACAATAGAAGAAAGTGTGCGGAGCATTTCTCCATGACAGGATCTTGCCAGTTTTCTGTCCACTTGTCCACCACGTACCAACCATGGATTTTTGCAAGCTGTGATTATGGCCTTCACAACGGATCTCGACACACACACTCTGCATACTGCTGCCCTTCTTGTCCCGAGCAGCAGGGGAATTGGATGGAATGCGGTTGCTTCATACTCCAGTGAAGGACTCTCAGATTGATGCCTTCTCCTCCTCCGCCTCATCCTCTGGCTCTCCCTCGCCTCCAGCTTGCTGATGGTATTCAGACGCGTTCGGCATGCCATGCTGTGTACCTTCACCACTGCACACAATCTTTGCGTGGAGTTCTGACCTAAGCATTGACGACCTATGCACACCGGATGTTGCTCGTTTTCCTGCTGCTGCTATGCCCCCTTCCCCCTTCCCCCTTCCCTCTTCCCGCTGTTCTGTTCCTGTGTTTGCACCGATCGGTCAGCGAGGCGCCGGTCGTTGGTTCCCCTTTGGGGGATTCCAACGAACGCAACGCAACTCTCTTAGAGAGCGCTTTCACAGTAATAATAATCCCCTCGCCGCTGATTTTCCCAGAGAGAGATTCTCTCAGAATCTCACGCTCGTTGCCGCAAGCTGCCCTTTGTCGACACAGATGGCCGCAAGTTGTCGTCAAGGCTCTCAAGCCTAAAACCCTTCTCGGCATCTGATGAAAAGCGTCGCTGCGTGATCACGGTTACCGACGTCGGATAAGCATCACCCGACCACAGCAGGCCTGTCGGCAACTTGATTGATGAGCTAGCTCGAATGGAAAGCCCCCCGTTGGCATTCCAATCATTACCCGGCAAATGCACGCACGTTCAGATTCAGGGGAGCATTTCAATGATAGGTCCAGATGAGAATTGCGAGCTCTTGGTGTTGACGATTCTTGTGAGCGGGCGAGTGAGTGAGTCGTGACTTCCAGAGCAGCCTCAGACTCTCTGTCGTCTAGTGCTCTCGTACGGTCACGTCGCTCTGTCCTCTCCCATGTTCGTCGATTCCCTCTTCTGCAACCGTTGCAGTGCAACGATGACGTCCGTCCGGCGACTCGGTCCCGTCTCACTTACTCCGTCCAACTATTTCGTCGATTGTCTTGCTTCGAGGGCGGACTTCGGAGCCCATGCCATCAGGAATGCTCACGGCTCTGCTAACGGCTCATATTTTTTGTTATCCGGCTAGCCGTCCGGTTGGCAAAATCACCGCTATCCGAGGCCGAAAATTAACCAAAAACTCGGACCGAGTCCGAGTTTCGGCCGATTATTTCGGGAAATTTAGCGAAATTATATCCTAAACCTTTATTTCGGCCGAATATTTCGGCAATTTCGTTTTCGGCCGATAGCCGGCTACGTGACCATGGCATGATTCCATGACCTCTTGGACTGTCTGTGGAGTTTTGCTTCACTGCCACTTCCACTTCCACTATGTTCCATCGTGGCGTGACTCCGATCAGCGCCAAATGCCCCGTTCCATCTTCCGTGAGCGTTGTCGCGTGCGTGATCATTTTCGTGACTGGACATGCTCTGTACTTCTTCCCCACAAATTCTTTAGCTCAACTTATTTTTCGCTGTTTTCTGTTTATATAAGTCTTAGTTTTCACTGGCGGCATCGACGTTGAAGCCATTATCTTCAGCTCGGAGTCGTCTTCTGTAGTTTATTGAACATGTCTTCAGCTGAGTTTCTGTGTTCCATTGTAAGAGGATGTCTAAAGTGATCTATAGGAACTGTGTGAGACTGGGATTTGGTTCGACCTTGGTCGCATCAAATTTTCTCTGCTAATCTCAGCAGAAATTTGAAGATATTTCGGTTGCTCTGTTTTGGATTTCCCTAGAAATTTTCTTTATCCAAAGACTGTAAAATTCACTTCACAGTAGTATATTATTTGAACGAAGAGAAAAATGATGCTCTCGGTCGGAGCATACAATACTTCACTGGATTCAGAGTAGAGTCTCGATATCAATATCAGGTGTACTTTGCAATTGACAAACTAAAGTGTTGACAAACTGTGTTGCATATCAGGCTAGAATGTGTAGCTTATTTGGAAATGCTGGTGGCAGCAAAGTAGGGGAATAGGCAGTCACAAGTTTGAATCGAAAAAGGGGTCAAATGTCTTTGATCTAGTTCATCTCCACCCAGAGTCAAATGAGTGTTTCGGATGTTTATGATTATAGTATATTTCGGATCTAAAAAATATTTCCAAATTGTATCATGTTAATTTTAAATACCATTGGACATATCATTCATAATTTTGGGGTAATCAAAGTCTGAACATTATATTAAAATTGAACCAATAACAGAACATATGTTAAAATTGATGTATTATTTTACAAAAATAATTTTTTTTTACAACAATTCTATATGTTATCAACGATTTCAGATCAATTTTAATATATTAAAATTATCAAATTAATATTTAATTTGATTTTATATGATTCTTTTCAATTTTACAATATATCTTCGATGCATAGTTATACTTGTTATAAATTCTTACATTAATTGTATTCTTCTAAACATTGCTAATCTCAAAAATCAAATCAGACCATTACATCTTTTCAATATTTATTTCACTTCTCATATACATGTTAAACTTGAACGGTGGTATAATTGTGAACGGTGTAGATCTTCGATCTATATGATGCATACATGTATAATAATGTTTTCATTCTTTGATCATTTTTTATTTTTAAATATATCTTATAAACTTCGATCATACTGGGAATGGTTAGGAAGATTTTAATTCATGTTTATTGAATTTAACAGTAATCTCTAAGAAATTAAAAGACTTCACATTGCTGCCAAGTAAAATTTGAAATTATAAATTATAAGCATATTTATATTCAATTAAAATAGAATTTGAATTTTTATATTTTAGAATTAACTCTCTAGTTTAGCAGTGTCAGATCTTGATTTTTTAAAACTTTACACATACTTTATTAATTTTTTCTTCTTATTTCAATTATATTTTGTGAAGTCATGAAATTTGAATTTTAAAGTAGTTAGTGAATATTTCAGTAATTGTATTCATTTATAATTCGTCTTTTAGAAGATATTTGCCGCAATGTATACAATCCATATCATATTCACAATTAACTTTATTACAGCTTTCAAGTTAATGATCTCTTCGTCTCCAGAGGTTTACCTGTACATCAAAAAAGTATACGTACACATGGAGCGTTCTGTCTTCTTCCTGGATCTCTCAGTGTGAAAGAGGTTCTCTTCGGCAACGGTTGCGCCCATTCTACTCTACATGTGTAATTAGAGGCAAAAGGTCTTTCCTCTCGCATAGTATTCATTCTGTAAGTTTCAGCTCCACCGCTTTTGGTGAAACAAGTGTTACTTTTCTTCCACCCCGTCCCAGGTGAACCCTAAAAGTAATTTTGCCTAAATATATGCTCTACGTCACATATCACATGAATTAATTTAATTATTTTCTCTATTCACGAGATTCCAAATGTAAACTACTCTTCAAATTTTACTCTTCAGAATCAGCATTTTGCCCTTACATCAAAGTCCACGTCGGGAGGTATAAACGTCGACGTTCCTTCCGAACAGATAATTACTGTTTCAACATACCGGAATTTGTACTAAATATATCTACCATACGCTCAACAGGCGGTTATAGTGTGCAACGAACGAAGGAAATTCAACTTTTAGTATGAACAGATGACGTAATAGTTATGCTTTGCTGATAGATAGAAAAACGTTGTATCATCGTTGTAACTCTGAATCGTACTTCAGTCTAGACAACCATGCGCTTACTACAGAACACGCACCACATTGGGGTGCGTGATAATTTTTCCTACTACTACCATCAACACAAACTGTTTCTCAAAGCTTTACCATAAATCAGGCCAGATTCACCTCGTGAGAAGACAACTTCATGGATCCAGGGCATCGAACAATAAATTCGAAGCTTGTGTTACAGGTCCTCGGAAGCCCGCGTGCGTACTAACCATACGCATGACGCAATCCGGAACCTGATGAGAGAAATCATGGGGGTAACACTTCGGTGATAAATTAAAAATATGTACTACTAATCACATCTTAGATGCTGGGAGAGCACCAAGATGTGAAAGAAAAACAGGGCAATTAGTTCATTTATATACACTCGAGTCACCAAACACGCCTGTGCCAATATGTTCAACTGGGGTCACAAAGATCAGGTCCATGCTCTGGGCGCAGTCTCAGAGCAACCATCCAGCTGACTAACGGGTGGCAAATGACTACAGGCAGCTGTGATTGCTAGCAATAGCACACAATCAGCTTAGGAAGTGAACAGTCACCTCAGAACTACAAAGTAGAAATCAAAACCTGAGGGTTATAACAATAACACAGAAAACATGAGGTTGGAAGGAGAAGCACGACCCAGACGCAAAAGTTTAGCCACATACACTTCCGTTTCACCCAGTAAATACAACTTCAATGATACTATCAATGCGACCCATCTTGACAACATCAATGCAAAAAAATCAAATGTTGACCTTGAGCGACTATAGAGGCAAATTTAGATGGACCTGGGGACAGTGGATATCAACGCGGAAGAGTCCTCTAGAGACAGCTGCATGAACATGAATACTAGCAAACAACAAATTTTCACTTCTAAGTACGGCTCAGACTTCCCAATCTACGAGGCTACAGCATGTTAGCTGATTTATCAGATCTACTCATTCACAGAGGTGGGCATTGTAAATGATGATGAAATAGCGACAATGAGGTGATCGTAGCAGGCTATCCACACCATATTATATATCTCTCTGGAAACTTTAGTGTGTTCTGTACCAGGAGTCTGCGATCTTTCTTTCAGCTTACTAATATGTTAACTCAAGACTTAATATATCTTCAACATCAGAAAGAGTAGAAATTAGCGAGCGAAGTGACAAACCATTTATACCGAACATTGATGATTATGCTTGAAAAAGTCGAACACATCACGTGGAGGGCAGGCTCGTCTTCCACCAGAACTTCAACTCCGCTATCTAACCTTCACATCTCAGAGTGAAGAAGCAACGGCGATACCTACAACATGACATCCGCTCTACAGAGAACTCATGTCCGTTCCTACGGACTCCACGCACGTTGATAAGAAACTAAATGGAAAAACACCGACACATGAAGGAATCCGACGATCTACATTAATTTTAATCATTCGTGGTCAAAGAATGACAATAACATCCTCTTCATTTCATCCGGGCGTTCAAAACCTCACATTTACAGTGAGAAAGCACTCGTCTTCGACATTTTATAAAATTCACCTTCGATGAAGGTTATGGAACAGATTTTGATGTTAGGCCTAGCGCCGAGTACCTCAAATACTAACTCAGTAAAAGACCTCTATGTGTTGGTGGCGCGGGTGTAAATCTGTTGGTTGGCATGTGCAGCTACCAGCCTGATGGTTCCCTTGGCCATCAACTCCTTAATCGCCTTGCGGGCAAGAGAACCGGTAATCTGTCATAACAACTCGGAAGGTTCAGACTCGTGCAAGAGCTAAGACTTGCCCTAAAGTCGGCTGCGACATTCAGGCCAATGAAATGACAAGTTCGGAATAAGGACTTACCCTCAATCTGTCGGACAACACGGAAGGAGTAATCAGCTTGTACTTGGGTCCCTCAACGAGCAACTTGTCGTAGGTTGATTGGTCGAAGAGAACCATGTTGTTGACCTTCTCCTTTTGCTTTCCCTTGCTCCATTTCTAGAAGATTAAAGAACGGCACTAGCAGCGATCAGTGATCCCCGAACCCCATAATCGACATAATTTCAACATTCCCACGCAATCGATTACGAACGTACCTTCTTCTTCTGCTTGCCTCCTCCAGTGCTCTTGGCAGGCTTGGCGGACTGCGCAGGTTTACTCTCCTTCTTTGGAGCCTGAATTCAAAACGCTGAGTAAATTAGGTTGCCGGCAAACGAACGAGGCTTTCCAAAAGCAGACACGTGATACCGACAGCAGATGGAAATCGTAGAGCTCGAGACCCAAATCATCGTCGAAAATTTACCATGGCGGGCGATCGATGCGGAACAGCAGCGGCTGCAGAGAGTTTCGAGGTCGGGTGGGAAGAGAGGAGAGGAGTGAAAGGAGTTGCGAAGAGCAAATTGCTCCTTTTCTAAACCCTAATGCCCAGCGCCAGTAGTGTTCCACCGGAGTCGCGGCCGGACAGAGGTGGCCGTCAGGACGGAGCATCGGACGGAGGTGGCCGGATGTGCAAGCTAGGGTTGAAGACGAGTTGGCTTAGCATCCGCTGAAGGCCATCCGGCGACGGAGGATGGACGCCTGGACGGAGTTCACGACGGACTCCGGTCGCCTGTAGGTCGCACGGAGCTGACTCCTCCAGCTGGTGCCGGTCGTGGTGTCCACTTCCGTTGGTGACTCCCACTCCTTCCACCGTTCGCTCCAGTCTCGAACCGGCCGGTCGTACCCGCCGGCGCTGCAGAATATACTTCGTCAACTGCCCTTCGTCTCCGCGCGAAGGGGAGTGAAGCATCGAGCGTCTTCTGACATCTTTGAGATGGTGAGCAGCGTCTCGTCGAGTGCTGGGATGGAGGACCACCATCGCAAAAGTCCCGCCCTGGCCAGATTGGTTCATGCGAGTCGGTGGAATGTGTTAAGCAGAAATCTTAGGAGTTTTCTGTGATCTACGATACAGCTGAACGCTCGAGGTGAACCTGAACTCATTCTGGTTATCACTCTCGTGGATTCTTCGGTGGGCCGATTCCAAGCTTCCCAAGAAGCCGGGTTGCAACGTTCAAAGTCAGAAAGTCACTTGTTTTCATGAGGTGACTTTGGCTATCATTCTCCTCGACCCGCATTGTAGAGAAGAGAACATGCTCACACAAACAACCCTGTCTTCCCCATTTGATCCCGTATTATGTCCACATGGAGTGATTATATATACTGAATCGGGAATTTCCGGTGGTTGCATACGGTATACAGAGCTGATTTGAGCTTGGTGATGACCGACAAACCCTCATTAAGCTTGCTGGCTCTCTCAGTTAGCTAAACACGCTACTCTATCGAAAATCGGCGGTGTCTTCGCTCTTCCTGAACTACTTAGCTGCATGATCCTTGCACAAATCACCTCGTTCTTCTCTTCGAAGTTAGAAAAGGCTTAGCGAAGGGAAGATTTCGGGAACAAGGACGGTTTTGCAATGAATGGTCCGGAGCCCTTCTGCTGGAAATGGACTCAGCTCTTGTAATTCCACACTACAAACCACGCGTTCACGTTGTTGGTTCTTTCACTTTTTATTGCGTAGTGCTGACATAGGTGAAGTGCAGAACTCATTACGATATTTTGTTTGAAACATACGGGACATTTTTAGACAACCAACATATCTAGCCAAAACAGAACTTTCTGTCACATATTTAGAAGATAGAATGTACAGCTTTAATTTTCACACCTTCCGAGTCCATCCTTTCGTATGCCTTCCTCGTAAGTCCATGCATATTAGCTTAGTATACAGCACTTCTGCTCAGCCTAGCAATGAATCTAGTCAGTAGCGTTATCAAGCTACTGGATCGGTGAAGTCTATTCTTCACAAAAAGCCTCAACGAGGACCTACTTAATCCTCCTCTGATCTACAAGCAATTGATCAAGGTATTTGCTAATCCTGTATTTACAATTGCTCAGAATGTTATCACATGTGCCTCGCATGCCAAATTCTCAAATTTGCGCTCTAGATTCACTCCTGCCGCATCCACTATACTGCAGACCAAAATCTGGAGTGGAACCCCTTCATCTCATACTCGGAACATGAAGTCGCCCTTCTCGGAATAAATCAGCAGTTGAAGTGCACGTCTTTACCGATTCATCAAATGCATTATTATTAATTGTAGCTTACATCTCGCCACATTCGGCAATGACACAAGCAAGCTTTGGCCGATTATTGGGACCTGTTTGAACGTTCTCGATCTTACGTACAACAAGAAGACTTTCGCCCAGCACCCTCTGCAAAGACCGGCAATTAAAATTGCTTACAATAAGATTGTATGACAAGGACAAAGGGAAAGGAGACACTGAAAGCCAGCAATACAACAAGGATAAGGATGTTCGGAACAAACTTGCTCAAACACTTAACAGATACACTTACCCCAAATACGACATGCTTGTTGTCCAGCCATTCACATTTGGCGCATGTAATGAAAAACTGCAGTTAAATCCGGGGCAAGAGGTTAGACAGGGATATGCTACAAGGCTTAGGGTAAAATTATGACCACCAAAATTGATTCTGGATTTACCTGACAGCCGTTAGTTGAGACTCCGCTGTTGGCCTGTACATCACAATGCAAATTTCAGCACATAACAAAACGTTTGCAAGCAGGTCATCTTCCGTAGAAGCTAGAATTGCACTACAATTGAAGTACAAGGTAGAGAATTTATGAAGTTCTGTCTGTATCTGCTCGCGTCAGACCTACTAACGTTCCCACAAAAGGCTGCATGTGAACTTCCAAAATGCACAAACCATCGAAAGAAGTCCAGGGCCTGTATGTTTTGCGATGAAGTTTTCATCTTCAAACTTGCTCCCGTAGATGCTGACACAACCACTTCCATCTCCCTGAACCCAAACAATCCAGTTCATACCTCAGTACTGTACTGTACACTTAAAATTTTTGGGCACGGACCTACTGAAAGCTGACAATATCTGTCCAGGATTCTCCAGAAAAGTGTACACACTCCTATTTGAGAAGACGACGATCAAACAGAGTAAGTCCGGTGAGACCTAAAACAACGAAACAAACGAAAAAGTTGACATTCTTAGAGTGACAGCCAAAACTCCGACAGCAAAGTAAGCTTTGGAGTTCTCCATAGTCAGAGCCATAGTTCTGACTTACTACCCAAGTCTTCACCTGAGTTAGTGCTTCATTTGAGAAGCATACTCGAATTAGCACAAAAGAGAGATCATAGGCTTAAAAGTCAAATGTGTATACAACTGGATTACCGACGATAAAACTCAGCATAAGAGTCTCATCTGGCTTGAGAGATTGAAGGATAAAATAATCTTTCGGAAGAGAGAGAAATGTCGAGTACAAAAATAAGTGAACAACAAACATGGAAAGCTAGAGAGGTAGTAGGCATATTCACGAAGAGGTGAATGACTACTGGAACAATCCATCAACACAAAGATGGAACCGTTGTACAGAGAAAGGTAATAAATGAAGTGTGCCATTCAGAGTTTGAAAATGCATCAGAAAACCAGCTTCGCGAGCATATGTACGAAACGGAAGGTTATCGGCATGCAGATACGAGTCTTGCAGGCGTTTGAAATCCGAGATACTACATTTCCTGTAGAGAGTACCTTCACAAAGTCTCCTCCCTGCATCATAAAGTCCTTGATGACACGGTGGAAACTAGATCCCTTGTATCCTACTGGGATTCCAGCTTTCCTGCAATGAGCAGTTAGTTCCATGCTCTTTCGAAAAAATGACTAAACAGAGAAACTTGCAGCAATATGCACAGAAATTAACTGTTGCAACACGGGCAGTCATAGCAAGGCCATACAGAGCTCAAATATGGTCCAAAGAAACAACTTCTTCCAGATCAGACCTGGTGAGTCGAACCGAATGACGATAAAGAGACTACAAGGTATTCCAAATCAGCATACAATCAACCTCACCTGAACTCTCCAGTGCATAATTGCCTGCAAGAAACGTGAGCAGCATCAGCAACTAGGCTGATGTTATCCAGAACAAAGAAAATTCAATGTCTATATCCTCTACAGAATATCAGATTTAAGTTTAGACCAAGATTTGAGTAAATTCTTTCTTGTCTGTACCCATTCTTTTCTCGAAAATTGCACACAAGCTCTCGCTAGTCATAATGCCAAGCTACAGGCCACCAAAGTCATTACGATCGACACATTACAGAGTTGAAGCTATTTCTGCAGCATGCGTGGAGCTACTTCTATATGCTGGCACTAAAGCTGGGCTCGATTGGAAACTGTGTTCACAGCAGAAAACGTCGAATAGGACAACGCAAAAGTACCGGAAATTCTCTGCCGTTCGGGGTACAATGTCCGCAAAGAGCTCCATCTTGATTCGCCCCGCGGGCAAACTGCCGATTGTTACATCGAAAAACACGATGGGATTCTTCGCATTCGGAGGGCGCACATGCCACTCCACTTGTGCAGCCATTGCACACCTTCAACCCTAATTCACAATGCTCGTCGTCTGTCAAAGCCACTCCACTCCGGTCTGTTCTTCACCTCTTCCTTTCGAGTTTTCTTCGACGCTTTCACCTTCAAAGCGGAAACATTCTTCTACGGGAGAAATCTCTAAACCCTCTGTCATGCATTGTGCGCTACTGATCCCAGAACCTTTCGTAGAATACTCGTCCTGCTTTTACATAAAGAGACTTGTTGCATTTTTTAGAATCAATATTTCTTCATTTGGAGATCGTCACATTTTGCAGGGAAGAGATTGGTGTGTCCTTCCACTTTTCTTTCCGAGTTGCAGTCTTCTTTTGGGATGGCATATTGTGTGCTATATTTTGTCCAATCGGGAAGGCATTGTGCATGATATCAGATGAGTTTCAATTATGTAGTACTTTGATGCGTATGAGGCTTCTATAACCTTTCCTTGGGAGTTTAATATATTTCGCAAAATACTTCAGACTGTGATTGATTCGTGACTCAATTTTACTATAAGATAATCAGGGGTATCATTTGGATGATTGTACGGCCTGCATTTTTCGCTTGCGCAACTCTTCTTCTTCTTCTTCTTAGAATCTTGAGTCCACTAGCATCATGATGATATTAGAGATGTTTAAAGTTATCGTCAGATAAACCTTTACCCATGCACAACCCATGTACAAATTTCTGGTTATCAAGGTGATTTTCTAATTGTTCAAGAAGTGTCTTGAAAACTAGAAAACCCTCTGTTCGAGAAAAATGTAAGTATATGCCTAAGCAGCCACAAGAAGTGGCATCTGTGGAAGGGATTCGCGTACTTCGTCTTGCATATGACAATACCGACTCTTTAGTTCTTAGAGTTCAAAGCACATTACTCGATCATGATAATTTCCATTCGCGCGGGGTGCACGTCTTCCTGGCCCTCAAATTCTCATTTTTGTATTGTATTTGCTTCACGCAGCTTACGATAGCAATCGGCAGCTGCTATTATGGTTAATATATAATTCGCCTCAAAATTTGTCGCTGCCTGTTTTTTAATCAGAGCTATTTTTCACACAGGCAAAAGTTTAGATATATAATGAGAGCCTTAGATTTATTGTGTGTAGTGGATGTGACCCATTTTTGCTTTGCATTTACCACTTTACATACCTCTACAGCTCTCCAACATTCAAGATGATCACAAAATTCAGAAATTCATCTCGCTTCAGGTGAGAAGATATATTAGATGACCATATTATGCACTTTTCCCAGAGCTTTGTCTAGACTACAGTAAAGGGTTGTATGTTCTTATGGCGGTTCCTGTAGCATGCACCGGTTCCTGGAGAAGCTCGGACGGAGCGCGGAGTCGTGCCTCTGGTTGGGACTTCTGGTCTCGTCGCGAGCGACTGGATAACGCCACCTTCCACCGGACGAAGCGAATTAGAGTTGCGAGCGCAGGTATCCTTCGAATTCCCGGAACTGCTAATTCTCGAGTCACATTTCTCGTCGGGGAGGATCGCAATTTTGGCCGATGGTCAGGTTCAGATCGTAGCTGAAAGGTTCTGAGGAGAAGCCTCGACGGAAGAGTGAGTGCTTCGAGAGGTGGACATGGCTGCCGTGCTGGATTGGCACGTTCGTCTGACGAGTGCGGCGAATTCGCTCGCTTCTCTCGAGGGGAGCTTTGGATCTCGTGGTTTGCCCGTGGGACGCGTCCAGCTGAAATGTTTCGAGAAGTGCAGCGGGGTCGGAGCTGGATTCGGTGTAGGCGGGCGTCCATTATTGACTGCCGTGCAGGCAGGCAAGAGGCAAGTCTGGACGGCGGAGCCTCTCGTGCGAGGAAAAGTCACGAAACGGGCGATGCACGTCATCAGAGACCTGCGAATTTGGATGAGTAATGCAGGAGATGAGGAATCTCTCTTTCGTATTTTAGATCAATGGGTTTCGAAGATGAGTCCAGAGAGGAGGGACTGGCTGGACGTGTTGAAGGATTTCGACAATAAGCGAGATCGAGGAATTTTGTTCAAGGTGCACGGAAGAAATTTTGCGCATTTTTCCATGGTTGCTTGAATTCATTTTAAATATATTTTCATAATTATATATTACGACAGAAACCTGAGTCAGAGGCTGCAGAGGTGAAATTTTCAATTGTGAAGCTGAATTCTGTGAAACGAATTCGGTTCACAGAATCCAAGAATTAACACGCGTATGATGCCTCACTATCGTCTCTCAGTTATCGGAATGGGCCTTCAACGAAGATTGGTTTGCAGTCAATGCTCGTGATTATACAAAACTGATAGAAAGATATGGCAAGGCGGGTCGCATCGATGATGCGGAAAGGCTGCTTCAAGAAATGGAGGCTAATGGGAATATTATAGATATGGTAACTTTGACGGTAATGATCGGCATCTTCGGAAAATCGAGGCAGTTGGAGAGAGCTGTGAAGTTGTTTGATGTAGCGAAGGAAAGAGGGTTTTTGCCCGACACGAAGGCCTACAACGCCCTGATGGTAGCCTATGGATATGCTGGACAACCCGGGGAAGCTGAGGTACTTCTGGAAGAGATGACTGTGGCTGGTGTTATTGCAGACGTCGAGACTTACTGTGGTTTGATCAATGGCTACGGAAGACTGGAGCAAGCAGATCAAGCCCACAGAGTGTTCGAGCTGATGTTGTCACGAGGAGTGAAGGTGAACACCAAAGTGTACACAGCCTTACTGGATGCGTATGGGAAAGTCGGTGACACGGATTCAGCCAGAGCAGTGTTTGACAGCTTGCGGATGAACGGACTCACGCCAGATGATCGAGCCATCTGCCTCATGCTCAACGCTTATGAGAGGAGAGATCTGCTGAATAGGGCAGTCGGCATGGTTGTGGAGCTAGAAAGTGCAGGAATCAAACCTGGTCCGGAATCTTTGACCGCATTGATCGGGTGGTTTGGTAGATTAGGTTTAGTAGCGGAGGCAGAAGAATTGTTCAATGAGATGGAGAAGAACAAACTGCGTATCTTTCCCAAGACATGCGCAGCAATGTATAAGGCATACAGCAGAGCAGGACAGTTAGATAAGGCTAGAGAATTTACCGAGGTTATGAGAGGAAAAGGTGTTGCTTTCAACGAGGCATTTGTAATGGGCTCCAATTCTGAAGCCCCTCAGTTGAGTATTACATAAAACAAATCTGTAAAAAAAAATGATTATTGGAGGTTGCGGTGGTGATTTACGGACTGCGATGGGCTATGGACTGTCTGAAAGCTCTTCCGAAACCACAAGCAAGATCACTTCCTTCCAACTACATCCTGACGCATCTCACGTTTTTGCTTCTTTGCTCCTTTGTTTTATCGACAGAGTTCCGGACTATTCTATTCGACAGTTTTAGCTTAAGATGTTCTGTGCCAAAGAAGAATCGAAACTTTGATCAAATCCCAAGGTCGCTTGTATAAAACTGTATACAGGAGACCTCTTCTAGCAGATTGAGTTATTCTCTACACCCTAAATCTGCATGATTAATGTCACATGCTGATTGACACCAGTGGACATTTCTGCGAATTTCTGTTTTTAGTCCTTTCCTTTTCGACACTGTTAAGCACTTTCATAGCCACAGAAGGTTCTAATTTTTGAACAGGGTAGCAGATAGCAAATAGCAAGCAGATAGCAAGGGACTCAAGATAAATCGTATTCGCAGTAGGGCTTGCTTGGGGTAAGGGGAGACCGTCCTGTCCTTGATAAGGTTTATGGCTCTGTTCAGAATCCTGCACCCATCATTTTCATCAACCGTGTTCCTCAAAGATATCTTTCAGTCAAGCATATGTCATTTCTGTCAGAAATAAGGAGCAAGTCTTTCACTGCTCGTCCTTCCGGCTTGTGAGATATCTTTGGAGGTGCAAGTAGTGATTTCTTGTCATGCTGAATGATGTTCTGAAATATGAAATGGGACAGAATTCCCGTCAATAGCTGAAACCAGGAACTCTTGAAAACTCCTCACTAAGGTCAGTCGTGGGAATTGATCCTTTTAAGAGCATCCTGTGCCGTCCAAAACACCTCCGTACATTATCATTCTCTTCCATCATCTCTTACCTCTTCTACTTTCTCAGTCTCCAGCACCTTCCAGCTCGGGCACGGGTTCAATGCACTAATTTGGTTATCTTGTGACACTCACTTACTGCCTTACACAATCTGTACTTAAATAATTGGTGCCCAGTAGTCTTTTCAGCACGAACTCCTCAGGATAACCATAATACCAGCTGAGTGTCATCAATCTTTACATTGTTGATCGAGGGACAGTAAATTATGCATTCTGATATCGTAACTCCAATGTCACCGACCTGAAAACAGTGCTAAGGAATGAATTGATACAAAAACAATTGAAAATGTGGGTCGATTTTCTTAGAACATTTCTTCATAGCAGGGTCTACGTTTCGCAAGAGAGATCCAAAAACATCGACGGCAGGACCGGTTTTGGAATGCTGAGTCGTACGACCAACGGACTGCCTGGAGTCTCGAGGAAATGAGTTGCTCCGTTTGGACAAAAAGTGTACAAGGTTCGATTTGTTCTTTCAGTGTCAACTGAATGATGGAATTAAATTGTTCGACACCACTCGAGATCTCAGAAGCCGTCAATTCAGAAGATGGAAAATTTTCAGTAGTCATTATATCGGAGAGTAGTCCTATGCTTCACAGTCAATCCACGAGTGAGTGGCAGTTAAATCTCTATTTGATCTCACCTGAATCGCCCCATCTTATCCTCTTTCAAATTGAAAGAAGAGGAATACGCCATGCTAAGGTGCCTTAAATGATTAACATCTTCAGGTCAGACGCTGATGAGCACATTGAACCATTTATGTGGCTGAAAACCTTCACAGCCCAAGCACAACGACGCAATTATCAGGGGCGGGCTCTACCACTGAGCTAATAGCCCGTCGTGCAGGTCTCCTAAGAGACCTGCAATACCAAGGGCGAAAAAAACCTGGGCTGGGGTCGAATTCTGCAGTGGGTCTCAGATGCTTCTTGTGTTTCAACGTGAGGCGTGTGAAAAACACGCCTTCCAGAAATTCGCACGCGCCGGTTAGGGCACGGGCGGGGGTTTGGAAATAGTTTTCAACCAGCAATTGACGCGTCTAGGTTTCACCTCACTAACTGCGTCATTGCCCCAAGCGCAAAGATAATCTCACCTCTGAGTTCTCAGATTTATATTGGTCTGCTTCAGTCATTTCCACGTACTCGTCGTATGGGTTTGTAGCTACCTCCGTTTACAGGACACTTCCTGAGCACTGCTCGTGCCTTTCGATGGTGCGGTCGCCTTCACTGAGTCTAACGAAACCTGTGTATGACACGTCTTCTCGTTTGCCTTTCTCGTATAATGTGAGTTCCGGACCTGCTTCCATTGATTGGTTGATTTTGTGTTAGCCACACATTTCAGCAACGATGGCATCGTTTTGGTGCAACATTAAATAGCATTCAGATTGCAGCTCGACACTATCTTCAACTGCGAAATTGTGAAATGTTGCCACCTTTGAATTTTCAGTTGATTTAAATTTCCTTTGGAGCACCTTATCCAGTAGGGCCACCAATCATTACTTGAGTGTAGAATTGCAATAGCAGATACTGGTATCCACCATTAGTTGATCTAGCTTTCACAAGCACAGTTAGAGTTAGAGGTTTACTTATAAACAGTACTTGAACATTTTAGTGAGCAATTTCCATCAAACATATGCCTTTCAATATAATAATCATGTATATCCTTCTTTACTTAAATACCAAAATACAACATTTATTTCATACAAGATATCAATTTATCCAACCTCTAGCAATCATTGACACCTACAATGGATAATTCTTCTTCATATTGCTATTTGAATAGTAGCTCCTAAATAATTTGTTTTCAAATATCTTGATATTTTTTTTAAATGGACCAAAAAACATACTCATACTTTTGTTCTTTTTTTTTTCTTGATAAATTCTAAATAATTCCAATATAATTTCCATTCACTCTGCTTTTTGAATTGAATTGCTATTTCTAAAACTTGATCTTCAATAAACGACTCGAAACTCATCAATTATAACCTTTTAACTTGTATCACTTAGTTCACTACTGATGATAATTCTTCTATCACTTATAAAACACAAACATATTTGAACAAAATTTCAAAATTTTTTATTTATAATTCTCAACAAGAATAAGATTTTTATGAAATCTGACTTCATTTGTTGATTTCATAATTTTAGTCACCAAAAAAAATATAAACATATATGAGATCACACATTAAGAATTACGTGCATACTAAAAAATATTATATTAGCCCAACATCATTGTTTGTCCAATATAATATTCATGAATCTCAAAGCATTATAGATCATATTTCAATCCATTGCATTATTTTCATGATGCATTTGACTTTATAGAAATTTTTTATCTGTCAGTAGAAGCATGTTGCTTGTTCTTTTTTCATCAACGTTATATGTCATGCATTCTTGCAGGCACACAACTCAAGTGAATATAATTTTCACCTTTTCATATGCATAAGAAACTACATAATTTAACTTATGATTTCCAATAAATCCATTCAATCTTAATTTATGTTTAGAAAATATTAACCGAGTTTTTTTCAAAAACCATAATATTAATTTGATTGTATTTCAATTTGAAGGTTGATTTGTTTGTCATTCTCCGTAGAAATCATATTATTTGATAAGACTATATCGTGCATTCATAATATTAAATTTTCCAATTTTCTTGTGTACCAAAAGATTATTGTGTGTTCCTAAATATTCATCAAGAATAAACATTTTTAGTTACAAATGTTCTCTAAGATCTTATCCATCTTAGAGCAAATCATTGATCAATTGATTTTCTTTTAGTTTTATAAGAATTTATGATTTCATATAATATTAATTTTGAATTATACACTATACACTTCATTGTTTATTTGATTTAAAATTATACTTTTGGGTATATATTGTGAAATTGCAAGAAATCTATTATTGATTATAGAAAATTATGGATATTATATATTGCAAAAATTAATATATTTTATGATTTGCATGTGAATCATTAAAATATGCATGTTGCTAGTTTCAATATATCTCTGATTGAAATATGATTTTAGTGATTGAAATGTGATAACACACATAGATTTTAATTGAATGTGCTAGAAAAATGTTATTCTTGTAATCAAACTTGGTGTTGTTGATAGTATTGATTAATTAACAAAGTTCAAATTTAAAGGCTATCATAATGAACAAGTTTGTTCATACTCAATAATAAAAAATATGATAAAGAAACTCGATGATATGTAGAAGAATTAAAATTGTTAGTGTTATCATCTCATAATATTATATGTTGTAATGAAAGGTGCATTATAATGAAATTAACTCCATGCAAATAACAATTGCTTTTATAAAATCAAAATAAGCGTTCAAATAGTGGTAGAAATCTAACTTAATCCCAATTTTTATTTGTTGAAATTTTCCAAATAAAAAGGATTTTATCAGACTAATTAAAAAAATCATAAAATAAATACAAAAGTATATTTTTATCTATCTTGTTTATTTCAACATGTATGGAAATGTTTGATGTACACTAAGTCAATATTTCAAACATTTGTTGATATCATTTTTTACAAATGAAGATCAAATAATGCATCACTTTGTTAACCTATTTGTCGGATGAATATATATCACCATACACTATACACTCAATATCGTTGACATGTTACACACACACACACACACACTTTATACATAGTAGCGTACACATTTAAATGTATCACAACTGAATAAATTGTGATTACTCCATAAGCAAACAATTCAGTACTGATTATTTCACTAGTAAACACGACAGTCCACTTATATACAGTCGAGCCCAATCCACTCGTCTTGAAATCCCGATCGACAGTTACGGCACTCACTAGTCCCAACGCTATAGGCTTGACTCAAAAAATTGAACGTTCTTCGAGTCTCGTCAACTATATACCCTTTACGAACAATAACACTATGACAACGGTTAAATATAGTTAACACAAAAAGACATAACATATTGGTTAATGAATAAAAAAAATTTGATAACATATTTTTCAATAAAAATGATAAATATTTACTCCTATATATGTTACTTTTATTATTTAAAGGATGATATTGTAATATACGTGTTAACTTTAAAAATACCTTTATACTCTAATATGATAAAAAAAATATTATTCAAGAATTTGAAATAATATTGTCATGTTTACACATGAGTCCTTGATCTAGCTACCAAATTTGATGATTTTTTAGCATAAAATGTTTTTTAATATTTTATTAAAAAAATTAATCAATTTTTTTTCATATTAAAAAAATTAAATCATTCTTTACTGATGGAAAAATATTCTTTGCAGTACTCAAATACATCAGATAGATATGACTCATTGAAACAATTATCTTATTGATAGTCCAGTAGCTCACACTTGTCACTAACATTTAATTTGAATCAAAATAATTTTGCTTTTTAGAGTAATCCAATTTTTTTTTAAGTGTATTAAAGTTTGTAGAGGTTGATAATATCAACCTTAAACGTGTCTTATCAAGATAATTAAAATTCATATTTTTTGAATATTTGATTAATTTTTATTCAAATCACATCAGATTTAATAAAAAATGTGATAATATATCTTTATTATTGCATGCAATTATAACTAGATTTATGACACAACTTTATTTTTTTATAGAAAGTATTTTCGTGTTTAGCTATCGATATTTTGAACATGAATCTACTTCTAAAGTATTCATAAAAACAATATTGAAATATGATTGAGCAATAAATTTCATGATATCTAATATTCCAAATCTCCTTGAAAATTTGTGGACGATACACGCCATCAAAATTTGCAACCAACCGAAAATGGATCACGTTTGAGGTTAGCCCAAACTAGAATTCGTATGTAGTATATGGTACTAAATATTATAACATATAGCAATCATAAGAAATAGAAATAATTTCCACCAGCACTTAAAGCGTGTCGGTTTCGCTTGAGTAAATGCGACATTGCCCCAAGCGCAAATATATATTGAACAACTCTTAGTATAGCTCGAATCTTTGGGAATATTCTCATTGAACACGATGCTATTCGTGCGAAGCATCATGTTACCTTATTGGAAAACCCCATCTTACCCAGAAGGAAACACGTGGTTTTACAGGTGTTTTCTATCCTGTTTGCTTTAATAATTGTCCCTTTTTCTCCGTGCGGCTCCCGAGAGAGAGATAAGAATAGTTGTCAATTAGTCAACTTGGAAGTTGTGAAGTGCAAGCTTAGGGTGGGGACAGATTGCGCATCCCCGATCCGCGCCTTCTCAGGTAACATTTCATGTCATAATACTGAGGCAGGAATCGTTTCTTAGCTCTGTACAGAGTAGGAATGAATTGCTAGTGGTCTGGAGAATGATTGGTCAATGTTCTTATTGCTCTCAACAATCGAATTTCACTGAAGATATTCTTTTAAGTTCAACATGCATTCCGTCGATTCTCGGCGCAGGTTTCAGAATTCGTCGTACGATAGTTAATATCTCCTGAATTCGAGGGGGTTTGAGTCACTCTATCCGCACGAGTTGGAAATGGATCATATAGCTACTGTATCGCAAGAAAAATAGTATTTTAGGGGAATCAGTTTTTTTAAGTTATCGATTTTTTATTCTGTCTTTATTCTTGTCTCAATTCATCTGATTCACCCAAGTTTGCCCTTTCACACATGCGTCCCTGTTTTTCTCACGTATTTATGTGAGAAAAACGCGGCACTGACTGACAGTCCAATCCGTCATGATAGTAAGTGTAAGGGTTAACATCATCGATGTTTCCGTAGGTACCGTTCTGTGCTCGGGCAACCATGGTCGACACCAAAGTTTTGCTCTTTGCTTGCTGCCTTTTGCTGGGCTCAGGGGTGGTCCAGGCAAGCAAAAGCTATAAATTCGAGTTTTATCAGCATATGATCGAAGAAGTGGACACGCCGACCGTTTTTGGTCCCAAGACAGGATTTGTTGGAACAGGTTATGTGTTCAACAACCCTGCTACCGTTGGACAGAGTATCAGCTCGAGATCGATCGGACGAGTTTCAGGCTTGTACTTCTTCAGCTCGGAGTGGGTGGCCGAGAATTATAACACCGTCTATTTCAACGCAACTGCCGGTGAATTCTTCAGCGGTGAGGGTACACTTTATCTGCGGGGGTTGTGGTTCATATACGAATCAAGCGATCCCCGTGGAGACTACCAGGAGCTGGCCATAGTTGGAGGCACCCAAAAGCTAAGAGGGGCTCAAGGTCATGTGGAATTTGAGAAGATACACATTCCAGGTTCCGATGCGTTGTTGTTCAAGGTCATTTGCCACGTTTCACTTCCTGAGAAGGAATCGGAGTACACATACATTCAGCTTTAGTTCCCACTCCAGGCTTCTACTGTGAGACCAAGCACTTGACTTGTTCAAATTACTGTACACTGTTAGTTCACAGACATACCTTGACATCACAGACATATTAAATGACATTGCGCGGACACTCTGATCTAATATTTGACCTTCCTACTCATGTTATATACTGGACATAGTGAATGAGTCTATATGTAAAAAAACTTTGGTACTCAGGTCTGATCTAGGCCACAAGCTGGACACTTGGGAAGATTTTAGTTTGTACATGGATTTCATCTATTGTATCTGGCTGGAATAGGACGAGGTCAGTATAGGTCAGAAGGTGCTGAAGTCGGTTCCTCGTCAAGGTTGTCATCTTTTCCCTTTCACAACTTGAGAAGCTTCTGGATCAGTAGGACTATAAAACTCACTTGGATTTATGAAAATCCGCGCTTCTGTTCGTAAAATTTGTGAAATTGTAACGACGTTTATGACCTTCTCCAGTAAATGGAACTTCTTCTATTATAGGAAAAAAAGATAACGATAGCATACAAATGTTTCAATTTCTTTCTATGTTATTTTGAATTTTTTTTTCTTTCAATGCAAAAAATAAGATATTTGTTAACATTTGTTTAGAAAAAAAAAACTCAAAATAGTTGTTTTTTAGCATTTCCGTAACCTTGCTACATTAGATGTGGCAAGATGGATGACAGGCAGACAAATATCAGTTCATCCAAGTTCATGGCAGCGAAGTTGCAGTGTAATAATGACCGTGTTTTCGAAGATAACTCGAGACTAGAACATATTTCACTCCCGGCAAAGCTTGACATCTTTGCAAAGTAAGCCATTCTAAACTCCTCATGAGAAACATGACATCAGTGTCCCCTGAATAATAACTCATGGCTCTGAAACTATATGTCGGATCGAGCAGCCTGGTAGTTTGATCTGATCCGTCTTGTTTGATCTTATGTATGAGATCGAAATTCAAATGCCAATGTATGGATGCCAAAGGATTCCCAAAACTCACAATCGGAAGACGTATATACTCGTGTTTCCTCCCAGGTTTGAGATCCCGAGGATTCCCTGAATCTCATATAGGGTTAAAGGTCATCATGCAAGTCCCTGTAGAGCATTCTTTGCCTTGTCCCTATTACGATTCCCATGCTTAAGAACTAGTAAAATCTGGAGTAGAATTGGAGACAGCTAGATTCTCTCTAAGGAACCTTATCTCCATGAACGAAGTGTCACATCTGCTATTAACCCTCAGCACATGGCCAACACAGAGCTCAAGAGCTTCGAATCTCTTTCCTTATATTGCAGATCTTTGAGAATACCAAAATTACAGCGTCTGCGGAGTTCGCTAAAGTATATCTCAATAAAAGTTTTCCAAAACGGAACTATTCAGTACACGTAAAGAATTTGAATTCAAGTGATTTCGAAATCATCGGTTCTGTTTCATGATTCTTTCTTTTGTCGTTGAAACGGATAAATTTCTCTGGGGGAATATGAATAAACCTGAGAGAAAGAGATCAAGCCAGGGAGACAGGGAGCTCCTGGGATCGGGCAGTCGGACCAAAGCTGAACCCTGCGGCATCCCGGCCAACAGATGGAGCAGGGAACTCCCACTTCTCCCAGACCCTCCTTAAATGCTATTCTTCTGATTCGTGTACAGTTGAAGACATTCCCTTGTGGGATAAGTTACACATTTTATCAGTGATCATTCTCTCCTGGTAAGATATGGCTGAAGCAAATGCTAGGGCAGCCGGTAATTTGCTATCCAACTCATGGCGTGATCTACTTCTGTTATATAAAGCATGACTACTTGTCCCCACTTATGACGAGGCAGCAACACAGAGCAACGGCTCAAGGAAGAAAAGCAACATCATAATATCACGTGCCGAACCAATCCACAAGGACAGGCTCATAATGACGATGAGACACAACGGCATGTTAGATAAACGCCGTTTTGGCCTTCTTGAGCGTTTTCAAAACTGTACCATCCATGGCGCTAAACGTCGTTAGTCAGTAAAATTTGATAACGGCGTCGTGGTGCAGCTGTTTGAGCTGTTTCTTTCGATCCAAATGCTGAACTACGAGCGTTCCAAGCCAGTGAAATTCTTGAAAGTTGGGAATGAGTGAGTGACACAGTCTTGACAATTAAGTACAGTACTTCTTTCCACGTGAATGACTGAGAGGAGAAAGCCAACATTCGAAAACCCTAACAGCCTGGAGAAACGCCCATCGAAGAAATGTAAAGATGGAGAGACGAACAGCGTTTCAATAGAGACGAAGAAAACTCTTCAAGCAGCTACGAACCTCAACACCCAAATCGGTGCATTTTAAGTAATACACAGCCCGAGCGCCCCGAGTCAACTGCCAACCTTCCATTGGAATCACACAGCAGCCGAAACGATGTACTATGTCCACAGGCAGACGGGGCCCAAGTATCAACAAAACGGTCGAAGTTCAGATCGACAACTGCTATAAATTTACTGTTCGAACGACGGCTCCTCGAATGCAACTGTCATTGCACTGTCATGGATTCGAATTCCAGTCGTTGAATGAGGAGGGAGATCGAGGTCCAGTCACATGGAATCAGTAGTAGGTCGGAAGACTCGAAGCAACTCAGGGTGCGATTGCATCGACTCGACAAATCTTCCACGCTGCCACGAGCCACGAGAAACACTTGTCCGCGCATGTAGCGATCCCGAGGAGCCACGAGTCGAAGCGACAGAAGTAATCAGTATCTACGCGTGCGTCTGTAAGAGATAAAACAATTCAACCATTGCAAGTGGAACGCGCAACCAAACCTGCCACGACGGAGAAAAATTCTTTCCAGAGTCCGAGAAAATCGGCAGGCGGTAGATCTGGGAAAGAGCACGCTTGCCTCGACGCAATCAAGCAGAGGAGAGGACGAACGCGTGCGGCGAGATGCTCAAACTCCTTCCCCACCACCTGTCGAATCGAAGCAGCAGACACGACAGGAGGTTGATTTTACCGAAGAAAAGCCGCAGCGGCATTCGAAGCAGTCCCCGAAGTCCGAGATCCGATCGGAAACAGTCAAAAGCCGAGTTCAGAGTTCAGAGTTCAGAGTTCAGAGCTACGGAGCATTCGATGACCACTACATGACAAAAGGAAGGGAGGTCCCCGACGGCCCCTGCTCTTGCAACAGACCCACCACATTCGATGGTGCTGCTGGACTCGCCGGTCTCAGCCGATAAGATCCCTGTCCTGCTCCGAATCCTTGCCTCTCACGAGCGATCACTTGACTTGTTTCTCTCCAACTTCTGCGCAGGAGCCGGCACGCCGGGGACAGGGGAACATGCGACCGGAAGGGGCCGGTAAACCATCCGTCCGTGATCCTATTGGGGGAACGACACAGTAGCAGCAGGTAGCGGTCGAAAGGGCCTGGATTTCACCGAGCGAGGCGAGGAGGGGTCGAAGAGGGCAGGGGCACCGTGGGGAGCCAGGGCTGGGAGGATTTCGAGACTGTGAGGGAGGAAGTTAGACCAGAGGAGGCAGGGCAGGTCCGAGGTTGGGGGTGTGGGCATGACGAGCAGAAGGGAGGTATAAGCTGTGCGTAAATCGGTCGATGGACATGCTGCATCAGCTTCCTGGAGCTCTGTATCGGCTGAGAAGCGCTCGAGTTCCTCCGTTCAGCTCGCTCAGTGGTGGTGGTGGTGGTGGTGTCCCTGCGAAGGTCGGACCTGCAGCCAACAGGTGGGGAATTCGCCTCTTTGCTCACTCGGTTGCGTGTTCCAGGTATCCCAGGTCCGAGAAGGTTGTGAGCAATGGGTTTGGCCTTGGGTTCAGGCAGTCGCTGAATGGGGACGTTTTTGGCAGCAGGTACAGCTCGGGGTTTAGGGTTTATTCCGGTAAGCAAGGATGTGGAGACTCTCCAGACCGGTGGAACAAGTCTGTGAAGCACAGGATTCCATGTCCGAGTGTTTTTGGTAACAATGGCCGTAGCCTGTTGGTTGTAGCTGCTGCTGCTCGGAGCTCGAACAGCAAGGCGCAGGATGACGTTGAAGTCCCATTGCGGATTTCTGAAAAATTTAGTGAAGGTGAGTCTGAGAAGCCCTTTTCCAGGCCAGCAGCTCACATAAAGAGGCAGGGCAAATCTCAGTCTAATTCGAGCAGAAGTGCTCGTCCTAGTCAGGTGGACAGTAGCGCTGCAGACTCTTCAAGCAGGTGGCGATTCAAGCCCAATAACAATCAGGCAGGAGCTGAATTACCGAAGAAGAATCTGCCAGGAGCAGCAAAGGAAGATTCAGCTCAGGCTGGACTGAGGACAGACGTCTCGAAAGCGAAGAATTCTGTCGTTAGACCTTCTACTGGTAAGGCTGTGTCTGTTTCCAGTGGCACATTACATAAACGTGTCGTCAGATCCTCCAAACGCACAGATATTCTAACAAGCAATTTCAGCACTAGAGCTGGGAGCACTTCCGTGAATGCTGGAAGTAAATCGCAGTATTCTTCCATCACTCGGGAGGAGACGGGTACACAGACAGTGGTTGTCGGTCCGTCTCGAGGAACCCCAGAAATTATGAGCATTCAACAGAGGGTAGCTAATGGCAAGCAGGCTGAGAAAGAGAGGAAGCCAAAGCATAATGAGAGGAAGAAAGAGAAGCACTTTCCTGTGGAAGCCGTGCTTCGTCGAGACCTCAATATGTGCTCGAAAGGTGGAGATGTTCTCAGGGCACTGGAACTCTACGATCAGTCCGTGGCCGATGGAATCGTGAAGTGGAATCAGTACAACTTTAATATACTGTTGTACCTCTGTTCTTCTGCTTCCTTGGGAACACTAACAGCTCGTAAGAGTGGTAGCGATAGAGCCGAATCCGAGAGAATGAGGTTCAATGCCACAGAGCAGATGAGGAATGGAGAGGCATCGGAATTCGCTGACGGTGGACGGGAAGAGAGCACAGAAACACCCGTAAATGATGAGGAAACGGCATCCGCCAGCACCAGCATCGTTTTGAGTCCAGAGATCATGGAGACAGTCACCACGAGAGGTTTTGAGATATATGAGCATATGAAGAGGTTGAAGGTTCCACCAAATGAGGCCACACTGACGGCGGTGGCAAGGTTAGCCGTAGCAAGAGGTGACGGGGATTTAGCATTTCAGATGGTGAAAGAGATGGCTGCTCTGAATCTTGCTCCGAAGTTGAGGTCTTACAGTCCAGCTCTGTTTACTTATTGCAAAAATAAGGCAGTGAAAGAGGCATTTGAGGTAGATGCACATATGGTGGCTGCTGGTGTGCATCCTGAGGAACCCGAACTTGCAGCTTTGCTCCAATTGTGTGTTGACACGGGTTTGGCTGACGAGGTGTATAAGCTTTTGCATCGGTTGAGGGTGAAAGTAAGGGCTCTAAGCCCTATTACAGTAGCTACTGTCGAGCAGTGGTTCTCAAATGAAGCGGCATTGATGGCAGGCAAAGATAGCCAAAAACCAGACGCTTCGAGCGTGCAGCAAGCTGTAGTAGCAAGTGGAGGAGGTTGGCATGGGTTGGGTTGGCTTGGGGAAGGAAAGTGGAAACAAAATTGGACGAAGATTGATGACGAGGGAGTCTGCCTTTCATGCAAGGAGAAACTTGTCACCATTGACCTTGATCCTCAAGAAACCGAGAACTTTGCGCAATCTTTATTTGACTTAGCGTGTGCTAGAGAGGCTAAGCCCAACGATTTTAAAAAATTCCAGGTGATTCTCAACATCAGATTGTATGAATGCTTCTCTATTTAAATGTATTCTTTGGATTTAACCGTGACATACATTTAACAATTTTAGCATATGTTACTGAAGCAAAACTTTTTCATCTCGCAGGAGTGGCATGAACGCCATGGGCCATTTGATGCCATTGTAGACGGTGCCAATATCGGACTCTTTAACCAAAATTTTGCGCAGGGCGGTTTCAATTTTTACCAGGTTGGTAAATATTGAGAACCAGCTTCATATCAACCTCATTGCCTCTGAAACAGTGTTGAATTTCGGGCCACCTTGTTTGAGGTTTCTACCATGCTGTAAAAGGTAGTACTCGTTGTGAACTCAGTCGAGATGATCTGGTGCACTGGAAGTAGTTATTGATGTTGTGGTTACCTGATGAATACTTCGCAGTTGAATGCAGTGGTAACAGCCCTTGAAGATCAAGGTTTGTCGAAGAGACCACCATTGATTTTCTTGCACCATGCTCGGACCAAGTTCGGTGCTGCGACTACTCCACAAGCACAACAGCTGCTGAATAAGTGGCGGTCCAGTAACTCACTGTATACAACTCCGAATGGATCGAATGATGATTGGTAAGAATCATCGTCCCTATAGTTTATTTTCACATGAATAAGTTATGTTTGATGAATCTGATATCAGAGCTATTTACATGTGCTGTTCTCGTTGTGTAGGTATTGGATGTATGCAGCCGTGAAGGACAAGTGTTTGCTTGTAACAAACGACGAAATGAGAGATCATCTTTTCCAACTTCTTGGAACCGATTTTTTTCCGAAGTGGAAGGAGCGACATCAGGTGACGTTCGAGCTTTCTTTACCAGCGGCAAACACTAGTGTTCACGTTATAGGAGCTTCAAACATATGATCTTCCTGTACCGAGCAAAGTTTTAAGAAGGTCTATTCATCCTAATTCTCAGACCACTCTAAATAAATAAGTCATATCATGATGGTAGCAAAGGCTTAACATAAATCCTGGTGCATGTTCGGTTTGTGTGTGCACAGGTTCGTTTCTCCTGTACCAGTCGCGGTCCTCAGTTTCACCTACCTCCTCCCTATTCGATAGTCATCCAGGTAAGAAGGGAGTTTCAATCATTCATCGCTATGTCGAGGCGTGATGTCTTTCATGTTCGTGCCTTTGAGGCCACTGTCTGATTATTGTGCCTATATCTTCCAGGAATCCGAGACTGGATCTTGGCACGTCCCCAAGATCGGTGGGGACGACTTAGAAGCCCCATGCGAGTGGCTTTGTGTCACAAGGCCAGTAAGTGAATCAGCAGCTCCAGCAGCTCCAGCAGCAGGGCCAACATCAGGAGAATTGAGTTCATCTGCCGTAGAGACGTTAGAAGTTTCGATATCACCTGAGAAGATTAGTTCTGAGGGAGTCACGGAGGAGGAGCAAAAGTGCTCTTTGTTGAAAAATCACTCATTGGATTCAGGGACTGGGGAAGCCGGCGTCCGAGTCAAAAGGTCTAGGTTGAACCCTCCTTCAGAAACTTATATAAGAATCAAAGGTGCTGAGAAACTGTCGGAGAATGGAACCATTGCTTTTGAAATTTAAGGAGAGGGGGAAGTTTGGCAAATTTGCACGAACTCTCATATTTTTTCAAGAAATTGGATATCTTTCAGTGGAGGTGGTGTTCTTTTCATCTAAAGTGAATGTGGTTCGTTCTAGACGTCACTTTCTTCACGTTAGTGTCACTGATAGACAATGTTAAGAGTGGAATAGATTCAACGCTATAGCGTGTACAGTTTACAAGAGAGGATGTCGTCCGTAACTATGGATCGTACCGTCGCGCAAATGTGTTTCCACTTTAGCAGTTACCTATTTACGAACATTTTGACAGCCCACCGTAGGGTGTGCTGAGATCATAAATTGAGCATAGAGTTAGCTTCAGGCTTGTGAGTTATGATGTGTCATTCGATTCATGCAAAGATATTGGGTTCGGAATAACAACAGGCTTATCCATGTTACACAAAGTTGAAGCAATGATTCTTGTTTGATTGTCACTATTAAATACATTGATGTACGTACCTAGTGAAATCGTTGTCCTCATATGCACTTTCGAAGCTCAGTTGTCTCTCTTCAAGTGCAGTACGCCTGGTCGATAGTTCCACAAGAAGTTAACCGCTTGAATGGGTGCACGACAGTAACACCATATCCTTTTTTCCATTATTTTCGCTTCTCGCTTGATTCCGATTCATATCACCCTCCGCCTGATAGTTGTTCTCATTCGCGAGCTACAATTCTTCGAAGTTCTTCCCGCGTTTACTATTTCGTCGTCTTGAAAGCAGAGCACACACCCTCCACCTAGACAAGCAAGAACACGAACACTACTACTAGAATGTTCCAAGATCCATGTAATCCTACACATTGCAACGTACATGCCCAGTCGTATTCTTCCCATTCTTCCGTCGTGTGCCATCGATTACTCGACCTGTTCCTAAATCCTAAGCATGACGAAGAAATGATTCTTGGAATCAAATCTTATTTTGAAAGTCTTCTTGTCTTCGATCTCTGAAGCCTGCTTATTATGTCTACTCTCTCATAACAATAAGTGGCACTCTCTGATATTCGCTACGATCGTCGCGACTGCTCTCGTTTACAGGACCATACAGGCCTTGAACACTAAAGAGGTCGACTTGACCATCCGTCCTTTGCATCACCATAGCCACCTTCCATCTACGGGCGCCGGCATTCAAAGGTGAGACCATGCAAAAAGGTACTGAAGACAAACGTATAACATGGTCTAGTCACATCGAGAAATATAGTAATATATTATCTGATTTTGAAAAGTAAAAGCAAACATTTTGTCTTTTACTGTACTCATACTGTAGACCATTTCTCTACATTAATTCATGAATTAAATTGAGTTTTCTATTTGATAAAATACTATTCATATATAGAAATATAATACACTCAAAAGATACACATGTTACTTACTATATTATAAAAAACAAGTTTTAGTCAACATGCATAGCTTATCAGATGAGCTGTCACTGTGCTTTCCTGCAATGAGTTGAAATTACAACTTAACAGACTAGCTTGGTTCCCGCCCTTGGTTGATAAAGTTCACGTTAACCTTCTCAAGGTCTAGACCAAAGTTGCCTCACTTTTTGGAACACCAATGTAAAGGGCTACCAACTTGAGAAGTGAACCTGACGGTGAAATATTCTTGGAATATACGAATCTTCGAATTAACTTCTGGTACTTGGATACCCACCTCACTGTCAAATACTTCTGGCCACCAGAAAACTATTGAAAAACGTAGAATATTCGAAACATTAACACGTGGTGGGAAGCCAGGGCGTGTGGTCAGTTGTTTAGGGCGACGCGAGGCAACTGCCAACTTAGTACAGTATACGAGCAATTTACTTCCACATGTTTAGTCCTGTGAAATTGTGAGCAATATTTTATGAAGTAACCACAAATGTTCCGCACATGCTGACCTCAATCGAATGGTACTTGTTAAATTTAGGTTCAGAAAAAATTGGAACTATGACCTACTTTACCATATGAATATCTGTTGCAATTTATGATTGTTTTTCGCCTTTTAAAATTGTTTGGTTAATCGGACTTTGCCAAATACGTGTCAAACCTTTTCGGTAAGGGGTTTTCGAGATTGCGACTACAAAAATAGCATCTTTATTTTGGTCGGTGGAAATTTTTGTATTGATCAAACGATGTAGACAACTCAATGCACACGTTACATGTATAATGATGCAAAGTGAAATATAACTTCGGGGTATAGTACATACAATACACAACATAGTATTGAAAATCATTCAAGATTATTTAACATCTTGCAACGGCTTATACTCTTTTCTTTGGCCATTTATTCAAATATCATGTAATAAATAAGGAAAAGGAATAATTAAAAAATCAGGATGTTTCCTTAGTAACTCAGTTAGCATGTATTCTGAAGTGACCACATCAATCTACATATAAATAGGAATCTAACAACTTTTGCTATCTCAACATTTGCTTCAAATTTCATACAACTCTTTTATTCAAACTTTGACATCAAAAACTAGTGTGTGAAAATGAAAAATATCTAAATGACTCATTTAGAGGTAGTTTAGCAATTTGCTTGCAAGAATCACTAGTGTTCTTGGTTGAACATTAAGTAATCATTGTGTTCATCTATCTATTTCACCATCATAAAAAAAGTTGATTCTAAGTTGAAAAAAGGAGAAGCTTAGATTTTGCAGGTACTGAAATCCAAAACATCCAAGCAATCTACAAAGCTGATACTCAAATTATGTGAAAAAAAAGTTTGTGCTTTGTTCTCTGATCTACGATGTAGCAAAACTTAGTTATCTAAAACCAAATCAGAGATTACTAAAGATGTACATTCTGATTGTTGACATATCAACATTCAGATGTCAACAATCTGAATGCTTGATGTTTATTAAATAAGTGTGTTAGTAAAAAACACACGTAAAAAATTCATGTGATTGTTAAGTATAAATTGAATATGTTAATTGAAAATAACACGTTGTCACGGTCGCATTGCCGACACATATGGGAAAGTAGATACAAAACTGCATCCAAGTCTCGGTGGAGTTTCGATATTCTCAGCAACATAGCCACGTATCATCGCCTCGTTGTCTTTACTATGTAGATTCACTTCATCTAAGTTAGCTTCTAATTATAAAACGAGAAGGAATATGTCTCAGTGCTTTAGCCGATCAACGCAAGTAGATGGATCAATAAAGTTCGAGTTCTGCACTCCCGTAATCTTTGTCTTGTGTTTGACTTCGCTTAGGTTGGTTGCAGTCAAACTTTCTGATCTTAGTTTGATCTTGCATGGTTCTTAACACACGTGAGCATAAATATGTCTGCCATGTTAGCAATCCATTTGAAGTAAATTGATATTGAAAAAGAACTTTTTTACTGATATATTTTGAGAAGATATATACAAGAAAAATCATATACATTTTAGTTATCTCTCATCTTTAGATTTTATGTGTTATCTTTGAATTAACTTGTTTCTTAATCCTTGATGTTATAATGTATTTAAATCTACATTGCTCATTCCTTGAGCGTAGATTATTTTTTATGAAATAGCAAAGAAATGATGATGAAATATTAATTCTTGAAAATATATAGATTTGAGTAAAGATCATTTATCTGCATATAGAGAGATGAGAAAAATTGAACTTGTGGTTTTGCACATATTGATTTTTTTTATAGAATTTTGATATTAAAATGACCGATTTGGAATCTATTTTTCATTCAAGTTTGTTTCACGAAAGAACATGATTTTTGAATGCACATTGTAACATAATGAAATACAAAATTTGTTACTCAAGTGATGGAATCAAAGATTTTATTGATTTTCTGGAGCTATAGAAACTTGAAATTGTATCTTTAAATGCTATAATGAATATTTGTTAGACTTGAAACATGTATAATTTTATTTGATTCAAGTCGTATGTAGCAATTCAAATTTCAAATTATATAGCAAAAGAGATGAATGTAAAGAAAATTTGTTATGTAATGTTATGCTAAAAAATATTATAAAATCATCATTAATTTTTTATTCATAATTTAAAATGTTCAAATATTATCATGAATTAAAATTATTTAAAATTAACATGAACATAGGTATTTATAAGCGATTATCATTGAGATGAAAAAAAGTATAGCAAAATTACATATTAAACAACAAACTATGAAAGATAAAGTTTTGCATTTGACATTAAAAAAGTTAAAAAAATAGATGCAAAAGATGAAGTCCAAAACTAAGTTACAAATACTCAAATTAAACCCGATTGCAGTTTTTATTGATTTATTTATTGATTATATTTTCATATAATCAAAATTGAAAACTTCATTGATCAAATCAATCTATTGTTTTGAATAAAACATTATATAAAATAAAAGCATGCAAATAGATAATACTTATTTAAATTTTAAAATTTTGTATCATGATTATGAAGATATATCTATCATTTATTTTATTTTGACTTTCTTGCAAAAAAATTCATAAAATCTTATTTTTTGGATAATGCTCTTGTATCATACATAACATTAAAAAAATGTTATAAGAATATTAAGCTTCAATTTCATGAAATTTAATGTACAAAAAACTTTAATAAAAGTTTAAAATTTTTATTTTTTCAAATTACACAAATGAAATTGTGAAATTTACAGCATAATAAAATATTCATGCATGCATCAAAATTTTTTGTGATCTTCACGTATTATCATCATGTATATGAATGAAGTAAAAACATTAGATAAGTTAAAAAAACTTGAAAAGTTAAATAAATAAAAAATGATGAGAAAAAATCACTTCACAATAAATGAAGCAATTGAAATTGTCCAAAAATTTTAGTAGCTCATGACTAAATATAGGATGAATCGTGAAACAATGTATAAAATTCTGCACCAGCATGAAAACTAACACCAAGATTTTGTCAATTAGTGATTTCAAATTTGCAAAAATGTATTGATTTGAGAAGTAATGAGAGTTTGTGACAATTGTCAATGTTATGCATACAAGAGAAAAAATCACATTATCCAACTCTTTCAAATTCAACTAGAATCACAAGTATTAACTCTATTGCAACAAAGATATTTCAATAACATAAAGGTTCAAAATACAAAGATGAATTTGAGTTAGCTTCAAAAAATAAGAAACATTAAAAAAAATTTACCTTGCAATTTATTGATTACATATATATAAACAAAGATTCAAAGATTACAATGATTTGAAGCTCAAGGAAGAAATGATAGACGAAAAATAGACAAGTTCAATAAATTGTGACCGATAAAATCATAAAAATACTTAAAATAAAAATTTTGATTGATCATAAGAGCGAGTTGATAATTTTGGATTAAATCAATAAATGATTAAAACAATTATCTATTATTGTGTATAAATGATTTCTTTGATTAATATTAAAGAGCAAAATTTTTCATCAAATTAATTTGAGAAGC